TGGTCTCCAACTGTGCCCAGTGGAGTTTAGTTTGGCCAGTGGTAACTGTTTGTGAAAAGACCCTCCCTAAAGTCTCACATGTTAATGGAAAGCAGACATGGAGGGTATGTAAATGCAGACGAATTAGAAACAAACAGCTCTGGTCAAGCGAGGCATCATTTCCTTTGCTCCGGAGTCAAACAAGGTCACACCGAGTCAACTGCGACACACGCGTCAGGAGCACCAGTGATCTCAGCAGCTCTGGGGAGACTTTTCATGAGCTGCCTAGGCTGGAGCCTGCAGCTGAGCACAAACTCTACCCAACCCTGCCTTCTCAGCCCCAGGAAGCTTGCTCTTACTTGAATTTTCAACGGCAAAATGAGGATATAGCATTAAATAAATACACGAATTATTCAAAATACGGGAAGTAAAAATTCCATATGGTCTTAGCAAACACTGGAAATAATATTCAGAGAGGACTTAAATTCATGAACCTGAAGTGTATCCTGGGAAACATTCAACACAGGGTAGGAAACAAAAAGTAAAGAAGCAGGGGAATGTTCTTGTCTGCAGGAGAAAAGTTAACGTGCCAATATTTGAGATAAAGTTCAGAATATGTTTAAGAAACATTCTTCCCCCTGTATTCATATGCCAGAGTTTGTACGAGCAACAAAAATAAATTTGTAATTTTATAACTAGTTCAGTTTCACCTGAGTTTTTCAGGAAAGAAGCAAAGAAACTAAAACCAAATGGAAAATCACAGTGACTGCCAAAAAGAGACACAAAGGATTTTAAAATGGAATGTTTGGAAGCAGAACTTAGGCTAAAAGTGTGATTAGTTAGCTAAATGTCTCTGATAATTTTGAAAGTCCCATCACTTTTATCTCTTCACTCTAGGAAGAAATTAAAAATATTCTGCTCTTGCAAAATTTGTAGGCTGAAAGCTTTCCTCAACAAACAGAGGTTGTTAGACAAATAAATACATTAATATTTCAAAGAACATAAAAAATAAGTACAAAGAGGTTCCTTGCCAAGAGTAGGGAAAAGCTCTCTGATTCAGTTTGGTTCATTGATAGCCTGATCAGTACACACAGCTATTGTTTTAGCCTGTTTTCCTTATCTTGGAGTGAAATAGGTGGGTTTTTTTCCCCTCCCTCTGTGATAATTATTTTTGACAGTTTCACTGTTTATATGTGAAACTGAGAAACTGTTAATTGAAATAAAAAATGAGTCACTGTTTCCAGCAAGTTTTGCCAATGTTTTGATCTGTGTCAATGTGAGCTTAATTATTAAGTTTTCTTTAAAGGAAGAGGCAAAACTGTGTATTTTAATTTGGCCCCATACAAATACTGTGCTCCTCAGACATACGTCAGTTTAAGAATATGAAACGCTGCTAAGTAGGATTGAAAGTATATTTAATGACTATGCACCAGAGACCTACAGTTAAAAATAACGCAGATGAAAAAATACATCTTTTTTTTCATCCTTCTTTTTTTTTTTTTTTTTTTTTTAGAAAAGGATATGAGAAGCCTTTATAGCCTTTCAGCAGATCTGATTAACCATGATATATGCTCTATCACTAATGATGTTGCCAAAGTCAACGTCTCTGGGCTGTGAGAGGGAAATCATGTGGAAAGCCAATTGTGTGTTGTAGGCGAAGGGCAGGCTCTGCGCCCTGTAGCCATCCACACATTCCCCTAGTGTCTGCTCTACAAACACTCATCTGCTGTCACAAACTTGCTTGGGTATTCCATAGGAATTCCTCTGTGATTTTACTGTTAATGCACAAATTCGGCTTGGCAGAAATAGGCTCTAGGATAGCAGAAGTGTGAGGAAAGATTTTCCCACATGTTTACGAGCCTGGGGTGTACATGAGAAGGAATTGGGGGGCAGAGGGATAAATGAAAATAAAAACGCCTTTATATCCACAAAGGAAAAATAATATTTTTTTTAATTGTCCTGGGGGTGCTTGAGGAAGCTGAGAACTGTTGTAGAAATCTGTCTCAAGAAGGCATTTTCACAGCAAATTTAAATGACTCTACAAAAACCCCCCACATCTAGTTAATATACTTGCAAAATATATTTTAAAAGATGCAATTATTTGAACAGAAACACAGCACACAGTCATGGGCCAGTGACATCACTGGACTTGGGAAGAGAGAAGCTTGCAGCTTTTCTATGCCACAACAAATTTCTTTCTTTGTTTTTGGGGTTTTTTTTTGCATTTGTTTTTCCAAATCAGTATAGCTCCAAGAACTTTAGGAAACTATTTGCAAAACAAGAGGCAGATAGTCCAACTCCTGAATGCTCTTGCTGTCCTTAGACATGGAAAAGCTCTTACAAGCAATGGAAAGATCATTGAATTAGGAATAGCAGAAACTTCAACCTACCCCTTCCACTAAACTCCTGGCTATTCCCAAAAGCAGGCAAATTTTCCAGTTTTGCCAGTAACTTTCAAGCTTCTATTGATTTATAAGCTCCCAAGTGTTTTCTCTAACTCCTACATAAGTGGAGAAGCCTGGCAAAAATGAGTAGTAAAGTACATCAGCCTTTTGTAAACCCGCACAGACTACAAAGCAGATCTCCCAGCAATCTTTTGCAGTGCCGATGCACGGCGTGTTTGAGCAGCAGGCTGCCCCTCACCACCCCCAGCCTCTCCCTGTGACTGTGTCCTGCTGTCCACACGTTGTCTGTGTGCTGCTGGAGCATATGTGCTTCCCAGCAGGAAGCTGCATCTCTCTTGTGGAACACTGAGACACTCACCCCAGGTCAGGGACACAATGGACATGGAACACTCGCCCATCACAGCCATCACTGCATCAATCTCTTAGGCCTTTGAAACTTCCCTTTGAAACTTCTCATTTTCTTCTCCTCTCTAGATGCAACAACACATTCAGTGCATTCACAGTTTCTATGCCTGCCTTTAGGCTGCTGTTCATACTTTCTGGCTCTTTGTGCTGCTCTTTCCTGGGCATGCTCCAAAATACCTGTCAGAATGAGGTGCTCTAAATCAGCATGCCCGCCAAAGGCTTAGGCTAAAGCCTAAAAATGAGGACAAGGTGCAGGTTTTCCACCACTGCTGCCTTGCCATGGGCATTTTGGGATTTGTTCAAGGACAAACTATTGTTCAACTATGGAAAAGAAACTCTTATAACTGTTTTTCAAAGCAGCTTAACACATAGATTTCTGACTAAAAGAAGTTACAGGGATTACATATGAAAACTGTGTGCACTGAAGATATTTTTCTGGTTAAATGAATTCAGGAATCACTTGTACTGATACAAAACTTCTGCAATCAACCAAGCAGGTTGTAGAGCTGAAGAATATCTTTGTGAAACAGAACAGAAGAAAAGAACAGTGCCAATGACTGAAAAGGACTGGAACATAAAAGAAATATTTTCTATCTCTTTTCTCTGAAAAATTAATAACTGAGATGGAATGGTTATTTTGATAGAAGGATAGCCAGGTATGAATTGCAGCTCCTGGTTTTGGTAGGAGGGCTGAGGAAGGACACTCAGCTTCCAGGGAGTGGTTACTTGGAAGCAGCAGACAAAAGTGGACATCCATCTCTTAAACAAATAGCTAAATGCATGCATGCTGTTTATAGCTCACTGTGCATTTAAAGAAATTAAGGTGTATTTTTCACAAGCTCTAGCATAAATACAAGGCAATAAAACTTTGACACTATTATCATATCAGATACTGGCCACAGTTTCTGAAAAACATGTACATTAAAAATGTTAGAACCATTTATCTGGGACAAGAGGAATCTTCATACCATACACCCAGTAGGTTATGCCTTTAGGGAGAAAGACAAAAAAAAATCCTGAGTTTGACATTTTTTCTATTTAAAACTCTATCTATCTTTCTCTGTTGCCCTCCTTCCATACCTCCCCCATCTACCTATGAAACTATTTACTTAATTACCGGAAATTAAGCAACTAATCAGCTACAGTTGTTACTATAGTTTTTCTCCTGATGCATTTCATTGACTAGTTTTGCTTTGCTGCTCCCCAACATTGTTTAAGCCATCTGTCCTCAGTATTGCAATACAAAGTTATTGTTTGCTTGCACAAGGAATACAAAATTTTCAGTGGGGAAATTTCACCCAGGCAAATTATTTTCTAAAATTGTTTCAAATCAGTCAAAAATTTGAGGCATTAGCATCCCATGAATCCCTTCATTGCCCATTTAACATCTGAGCCCAGAAGGCTTTCTGCTGTGCTCTCAGCATCCCCATGGTGAGGAGTATCCCTCTTGGAGGCAGCTCCTCACCACAAAACAGTCAGTGCCACCAAACTGTCTGCCCAGAGCTGAAAATCCTCCATGCTCAGACAGCATTAAAGTCCTTGAAGCTAAAACTGCAATTTAAACTCTTCAACATGAAAAAAAAAAAAAAAAAGAAAAAGAAGAAAAACACATTTCTCCATTAATTTAATTTCTTTCTGATTCTGGGATAAACCTGCTTGAAGTTTCTTCATCACCTTCAATCACAGCTAACTGAAGTCTCCTGTATGTTTAAAGCCCCATTTTTCCATTTACAAAGGGAAGCACAACACACTGGGATTGCACTGGAGCAAGTAATAAATGATACTATATAAAGTACAATAATGACTAGAAGAGAACATGAAGGCAATTCAGCAATTGCTCAGTGAGTTCAAGGAGCACTCTTCTGACATCCTCAACTGCACATAATGATAGAGCTCAATATCTTTTGAACTGTAATAGGAATTATAAAACAATTCTTGCATTACAAAATGCAAGGAGAGCTTACCTATTATAAAGATAGACCACGCTACAGGCAAGACTCATTTTTATATCTTATTAACAAGAAAATTTTTTTGCTTATTACTCTGGGGGTACTTCATTGTAAAAAATGAAGTATGCACATTTGTATATAATTATTCTCAGTATTGTTAAATAATTCCTTGCTTCTGAGCAGGTGCCTGAACTTTATGATCAGCAATGACTGAAGGCAAGGCACTGTGATCTGTCAGTGACAGAGTCTTTTTCTTCCTCAGCACACGGCTGTATTGCCATTTGCTCTCCTGGAAATCCTTGCCTTGCCGCATCGTTACCCAGCAAAGAAGAAGGGATTGATCCTACTGGGATTTGTCGCTTTTCTGTATATCAGTTGGTAAGAATTTAAGTATTTTTTCTCCAAGTAATCTACTTTTTAAAATGAAGCCAGATGCTGTACTTTTGACCAAAAGTTCCCACCCAGACACAAGGAGGACAGCAGTCTTTTCTGTGGAGAAATCATTTAAACTTCAGCTGAGACCCATGAAAACTATTTCCAAATGTAAACAAGGCAGGTTTCTTCAAACACAATATAGGTCCTGAGACCTTACACAGTGTCTCCTGCTCTTGTAAGGCCTCTTAAAGGAAAGTAACTAAAGTGCCATAAATTCAGGGATAATTTGAGTAATTTCTTCTGGGCTGGAGTTTTTACTTCTATTGGTACCATCAAATTTACCTCCACTCAGTGTCCTGCTAGCTGCAAAACCAGAAAATCCCAAAAGGTCTGGGGGTCACGGGAGCAGGAGAGGAGTAAAACTCAGTTCAGTGTTTGGCAGGGACACGTGCCAGGTTTTAGAAACTTGAGACAGAAAATGATACGCAGAGCCAGGTGCAAACTGGTGGGTAGCTAGGAGACATCTGCCCACCACCACCTCCCACTCCACCAGTGGACACTGCCCACATTTCCAGCAATGCACCCATTGATCCCCAGCCTGTTGGAGAATGATACTGAGAAAATAAACTATATCTAATCAGCACCTCTCACAGTTCATAGCCATCTGTCCACCTGCTGTGTGTGTCATGCACCTGTGGAGTGGGTTTACTCATTGTATCCTGGCTGCAGTGCTGGGATATGGAGGCACTGCCACCCCATGTAACTATGGGCAGCTGCCAAAACCTCAAAGCTCTCAGAGGATGCTTTGTATTGAGACCCAACTCAGGAAGGGGGCTGTATAATTTCAGGGTATTATATGACTTTCCAGAGCTGAGGAAACATCCTGGCTTTAGGGGGAACAATATAGAGCATGTGTATAACAACAAGAAGATACTGGTCAGTGAGGAAGGGACTTGTCCTCATGCAAAGACTTCCGAGAAGTCACTGGAACTATGAGGAAACCCATCCTTCCCATTCCTACTCACCAATTCTCACTCTCATCTAGAGACCATCTTCAGCCCAGTGAGTGAAAATCTGAAATAGAAAATAAACCGTTCAGATGAAACACTGGAGTGACTTGAAGCCCATCAGAGTGGCTGTGGAAACAGAGGACTTCGCTGATACATTACATAAGCAAATTAGGAGCCATTTATTCTAATCCTGCCCAGAGCCTAATAGGATTACGACCATGGCTTCCTAAATTCCTTTTCTATGTTCTGATTCACCCCATTGCTTAATGCCAGCTTTGTTTTGCTTGTCTTATGACAACATTTGGGTTTTACTGTCTTTGAGACGAGACTGTTCTTACAGCCATATGAGCCGTGCTTTCCCCTAAAATCCCTATCAGCTGAGCAATTTCATCCCTCAGGAGACGTGGCTCATATCAGGTCCTGAATCCACACCAAAGAATGAAGATCAACACAAGCATCAACACATTGGAGCCCTCCAAGTCTTTTCTATGAATTGGTGCTGCATCGTGTTGCCAGAGTCCTGAGAGGAAGGTGGTCCCTTAGAGTGCTTGTTCCCTAAGTGCCAGGGCCCTGATGAGAGGATAAAAGATATTAGGATGTTAATAGAGTTTTCAAATCAGCAAGGAACCTCTGCCTGCTTTCTTTTTGCTTCTACTTCGTGGTTCCCTGCAAACCACAGACAACAGCTTTCAACCAATAGAAAAATTTTCTGGCCTGTGCACTGAAATCTCAACACATGTACATATTTTACTGTTGGTGCTACAACCTGGTGATTTAATAGCCCCATTTGGGCACCATATGTTTCACAAGCAACAGAGTCCTTCCTCCAAGCCTCTCCTTGGACTGTCACTGCCATTGCTGCAGCGCCAATGGGCTGAGAAGTGACTGGTCCCTCCAAGGCAGCAGAGAAACTGAGCAGCCAGTTCCACCTCGCAGCAGAGAGGGTGTCACTGTGGCTTTGAACAGTCATTTATTTGGGTTTGAAAATACAGGTTGGAGTGCTTCAAATGAGACACACCAGCTGGCCAAATTGCATGAAGATAACTTAGTTGCTCATTATATAAAAGAAAGGTGGTTGTCACTCTCTGTTTTACTGTTGGAGGTACGATATGAAAAGAGGAGTCCTGTGCAGTGAAGAACACATGCTGACATTTGCACTCCACTTAGCACTTGGAATTCAGTGTTTCTGCTCAGCCTCTCAGGGGCCTTTTCTGCAGGCTTTTTTTTCTTTTTCTTTTTTTTTTTCCTTTTTAAATTACTTAGGTGTTTCACAGCTCTGTTTGTTAGATGAAAAAATCTTGAATCATAAAACTGAATCCCTACATTTAAATATTTCCATGCTCAGTCCAGACAGCTCTACGATCAATTCCTTCCATTGCTCCACTCTATCCCTCAGGTGAGGATAGTAAATCTTTATTTACAGGCAAGACAAAACCACCTTTTTATGTCCCACTTCTTCCTTTTTTTACTAGAGAAAGGAAGAAGCATCCTTTCAGCCTTTTTTTTTCCTCCTTAGCATTCTCCCATTCCTCAGTGTCATGACACAGTTTCAGGATAGTGTGGCAGCCCATTTGTCACTTCTCTTTGAGGCATGATGCTCAGTAGTAGGCTGGGTGACATCAGAAAAAATTGCAATTGTGTTCCTATGTTAGCACTAGTGGTGGAAAGTATGGCATAATACTCAGATATGTTTTTTTAAATGAAGAATTAAACTTTTTAGGACCATTTGGACCCAAAAGTTTGTTTTAGGGAAGTATTATCCTTGTTAAAATGGCACATCCTGATAACAATCAATGCAGACATACCCTATTTCTTAAATTCTTTACATAATCAATACAAATATAAATAATTTTATTCACAAAAAGTATTCACAAAAAAGCATTTTTCCTATACTTAAGATATATAAAGATCACTTTTATATTCTTTAGTTCAGGCATTCTCTATTAACTACTCATATGAGCCATAAACAATGAACATATTACCAGCAAACTGACAGCCACTACAAGATATTTTCTGAGAGAATAAAAAAGGCAGAAAGAGAGGGCACAATTAGAAGAAAAGAAACCCTATAAAGCTGGCATATTAATCTTCTTTCTTTTCCAAACCATGCTTTGCAAACAGTTCTGGCACAAAAGGGTGAAGCAGCCACATCTGTTTCCCACCTAGACATTCTTCTTCTTTTCCTTCTCTTACAAAAGAAAAGCTGCTGGAGAATTCCCCTTGCTCTCTCACCTCCTGAAAACTTCTTTGCACTCTTCAAAACGGTGGTCAACAGCAGAAGGATTGAGACAGGGAGGAACAGCTCTGTGTCCCCACAGACTCTAGGGATCTGGATAGGGGCTGAAAGGCTATTGTATCTAAAGAGCAAACATATGTGAGAGCTTATTTGAATAAGCTTCACTAGCATAGCCAAGTGCACATCCCTGTTCCTGAGCATTTTGCTATTTTACTGTGCTTTTACTGCTGTTAATAGCAAAATTCCACCAGGGTGACAGAAAAATATTGTGTGCATTTCAACCTGCACTGAAACCCATCTAATTTAGCACTGGCTCAAGTGTGCTTCACAGCAAATAGCCCAAGTGACGAGGAGATGTATTGACAGCTGAGCTAATTTTCTCTGTATCAAGCCTGTTTTGATAACTCAGCCCCTCAGGAGCTGGAAATTTTGAAGTGGTTCTTCTAATTGAATGGTCCTAACCTAAGGTCAATTCTCTCCTTCCTTCCTTAGGGTCTTGTGGATTTATTCTGTAACAGGAGAGTGGGTATATCCTCTCTTTGCTTTGTTCAACCCCCCTGGACTAGCAGCCTTTTTTGCCGGTAGCCTTGCCATCATTGTCGCCTTCTACAACTTTGGAGAGTTCCTCAACCGCATGATATGGGGTCAGTCCAAGTTTTCTTCATTACTTCTATGCATATGAAAAAAATAGCCCTGAAATGAACTGCTGTGATTGCCCAGGCAGGCAGGAAGAGGAAGGGGGCATGAGTACAGTGGGAAAGTTGTTGGGATGGTGGCACTTGGGTGTCAAATAGTCATTGTTGTGTCCCACCCGCGTGCTAACAAATAGAGAACAGATTGGAGCAAGGATCCCAACCCTGCCAGACAAAGGTTGGACCAGCTTCCTCTAATTTGGGTCAAGAAGCACCTCTAACCAGCATAATCACTGGATTTTGAATTTCTGTTCAAAGAAGGGTCCAGAGAAGCCACATGTCTTAGGCTAAAACTCTTACACCTGCATCACATGCTGTTTGTCAGACTAGGGATTAGCAGCGTTTACTGCAAATTTACAGGAATGCATTCATGTATCCAAGGAAAAGCACTGCAGCAGCAGATCCATGACTAAAACAGCACTTTGGAAACTTTTATAAACTGTTGAAAATTTTTCCCTTCTGCTTTAGTAGTGGTATGACCAGTAGTGACCTAAAAAAAGTGAAAAGCAGCTTCCTTGGACATAATGGCCAGTTGGAGGGGGGGAAAAAACGCAGTTTAGGAAAGCATATTTAACAAGTGGAAGAAAGAGAGAACTGAGGAAGCACCTTTGAGGGTTTGGCATGGGATACTATTATTATTATTGTTGTTATTATTTCTGTCATTATTATTCATTCTGGTTTCCTCTCCTTTTTCATTCAAGATTGAATTTTTGAGGATGAAAGTGTTTCTGTCAGGAAAATGTGTGTATTTTATTTAGGACAAATGTGGGAACATTAGCAATTTCTTAAACTAGCTTTCTGATTAAAGAAAAAACACTGCAAAAACACCTCTGAAAATAAATAAGACAACCTCCCTCTGTTCTCAGGGAACATTTGATGCATGATCCATTTTGCAAAGTCTCACATGCCTGTCAAGCCAACGTAGAGTGTCTGTAGCTAGTCTCTCACCACCCGTACTCAGCTACCTAAAAGCAGCAGATTGGCTTTCAAATGTGCTGAATAACCAACTTCACTGCTTGCTACCTTTGCAAACAAGATGCTCGTTCTACATGCCCATGTTTGGAGATTTTGGCCACATTCTGTTCTGCAAAATCATCATATGAGATGAGGATTGCTGGTAAATGAAAACAGATCTGCAGCCTTTCTGCACTAGCTCTGGTTTAAGAGGCATCACATATAAATAGTAACTACTGCTAATCAAAGACCGCACCATCACCACATGATGGCATAAGTCTTTATATGAGATATCTGATATATTTATGTATCAGATTTTTTTTATCACTGAGTACATATTAGTAATTTTAGGGCTAGGGTATGCCTGCTGCATAAGCTGGAGATAATCAGAATAAAAATAATTTGATTTCCAATGTGTTAACTGATTGGACAAAATATTGTGCCAAGCAGAGATCAAATTAACTGCAAAAATTAGATGCATATTCAACAGCTGACTAAAGAAACTTGGGCAAGCACTCAACTTTACTGTGCACACAGAGAGGCTGAAAAGCACCCCAGTTGTGGTAGCATGAATGTAACCTCAGAGTATGTATATAAACAATACACAATATTCACAATATTGATATCTGGTGTGCTCTTGTGATCCCTGGAGGCCTCATCTGTGTGGTGGGTCTGCCTTTCCATGCATAGTTGCTTTTTTTCAAAGGAGCCACAAAATCCTGGCCTTAACAATTACATAGTGTTTTCATCCACGTGCAAGACACTCCCCTTGAGTTACAGTTCCCCATGTTGGTGCCAAGTGTTTTAACTGATCCACATCCCAGCTGTGTCCACCCAAGAGAAGAGTAGGACTTCCTTAAGCTGGTATCAATAATGAAGTCCCAATAAGCCTTGAAACATAGCCACAGGGAAGCTATTCCAAATTACAGTGTGCCAGAGTTTTAATATATTCCTGACTGAGACAAATTTTTGGTTCAGCATTGCCAGAGAAAAAAGAGCTGCAAACTGAATGAAGATGTGATTCCAACATACCTTTGTTCCCACAGCAAAAATGGCTCCATGTACTTTTTTTCATCCTACCCTTTCCTCTCTCTCCTTTCCATCACAATAAGGCAGAGGATGCAGTGGAAATGATCCTGCAGAAAACAAAAAAGACAGCCAAACAAACAAAAAACACACCCCCTTCCCCCACCCCACTCCCACCCAAGGCAAAACAATCAGTGGTGGTAGAGGACAGACCTCTTCAACTTTCCATACTCTCCACTCTGCCCACCTTCTCTCTGCCTCAAAAGATAAAGCACACGGAAGGGCACATTTGATCTCTCTTTTGCTTCCTCCTCATTCCCCGAAGGCAGTTTGGGTTACAGGTTAATACAGATATCTACTAGGTTCCTATAGGCACATCTGAAATCACCTTGTGTAATAACACCTGAAGCCACCAAAAAATTAGACCTGATGCTGGTGGGATCTGACAAGGCAGAACTCTCTGGCTGGGCTGCTGGCACCAGGATTCTCCCCAGTGGAAAAAAATCCGAGGCTGTTGCTTCTTTTTATTTCTTTCCCACTCAAATGAAGAACAGTTCCCCAGAGGTGTTTATTCAAAGGTGCAAGAAGCATTAACAAACAGCTCCACCAGGGAGGCAAAGCCTGGCTCCCTCCTGGACTTGCATCCTGTGTCAGACCATAGGCTGCTAATGAAGCTTGTTCCACAGCAAACCATGCTTCATATGGGCTCTTCCACACTCCAGGCCATTATTATTTTTCCTAAAACCAGCTACATAAATATTTACTCTTTTTCACACTTAAAGGTGTATTTAGTTCCAACTTATTCCAAAGTCTGTAGATGGCAGTTTCCAGGTTCAAGCAAGTAAATGTTAAATCTACGTCCTACATGCTTGACCGAAAAGGTGCAGAATCATTTCTGAGAGCTGGAAAATCTAGGCTGTAGAATAATATAACCTTATTTTTCCTTTTCAGGATGCCAGACCCTAAATTCTTTTTATTATTTATAGACAAACTGTTTCATACAGCATTGGAGGTTTTAAAAATGTATTATCTCTCATGCGCCTCTCCTCTCCCTCCCCTTGCACAGTTGGATTGGTGGTAACTAAGGCAACCCAGCTGCACAGCCTGAGAGGCACAGAAAATAGTACCAGTAATGACTTCTTTTTGTTTTAAATCCCAGAGTTTCTAGAGTACAAGACAATGTTGAGCAATAGAGAAACTCCAAAGAGGATAATTTGAAACAATGAGCTGATTCTTTTACTGCCATAAATTTACCTCAGCCAAGAACTTGGCTGCAGGGTCTGAGTACCAAAGATGAACCGTGTGATCGTTTCTCCCCTTCCTGATGGGTGGAAAACATCATACTGATCTCATGTTTCTTCGACCAGTCAAATTAGAATCCTCAAAAATAAAGCAAAGCAGTGCTTGCTTGGGGTTTGCTCTGTTTGGGACAATCAGATCCTTGGGAGAAATTTGAATCAAAGTTCTCCACATCTGACAGAGCAACCTTTCAAGTGAGGTCTCTTATGTAGAACTCACATTTGAAGATGGAGCACATTCATTTGTCTTCCATCTAACACATCTGAAAAAAAACCCAAAATAACATTCATCAGCTGCTTCATTTCAATACTCTAAAATGCAGCTGGAGAGGAGCTATAGCTAGCAACAGCTACTTGCTCCACCAGCGATTGAAAAGCCTCCTGATGCTTTTGCCTCTATTTGCAAGATTTTGTGGGCCCAAGGGCTCTCCCAGAGAAATGCTTATCCCCACATGGTGGAACTGTCCTTTGGGAGAGAAACAGGGGAGGAAAGGAGGCTGATTGTTGGAGTGGGTAACAGCTCCAAGAGACCTACCTAGGCGCTTGCTGTCCACTAGAAGGAGAAGCTTTTGCCAGCAGCTGGCTGAGGAACACTGTTAGGCGAAAAACAAAAATTAAAGATATTATATTGCAAGGGGTAAGGCAGCTCAACAGGAATAAGAGCTGTTGCTTTGAGGAAAAAGAGAAAACTTATGGTGGAATACCTTTCTCATGCTCAGTGCATAGATGGATGCACTCTTCCAGATCTTCTATGAGCTCTTAAATATCTTGGGAAGACATTGCTGAAACCTATTTACCTAAGGCTGAAATAAAGTTAAACAACATCCTTCCCTCTAGCCTGTTTTTCCTCTTTTTTTTTTTTTTTGGAGTTCTTTTGCATTCAGTGCATTTTCCAGAATCATATAACATGTTTTCACAACTGATTATTTTCCCTGAGTTTTATTTTTGTATTTATGGGCTTTTGAAACCAAGCTCCCTTAATACCCTGTAGCCTTGGGAAATCCAGCCTATGTGACAGCTCACAAATCTGTGCAATACAAAGCAATACTATAATAAGATTGAATTCTTGATGCTGTCATTATTCCAAGCAGCTGTTGAGATTGCAGAAACCCGAATGGCAAATGAAGAGATGCAAAGGGCAACTGTGTGGGGCATGAAGCCGTGCTGGTACAAGCTTATCAACAGCAGGTTTTGTATGAATGCTAAAATGCTGACGTTCTGCACATAGTTACTACTCCAGACACAGGTTCTACCCTTTGTTATTACAGTATCCAGGGGGATTTTTAAACTGAGATTCTTTTCCAGAGGATTTGTTGTATCATGCAAAGAATAAGAGTCCAGAGTCTATCTATTCCTTTCAGTGACCAAATGATGTTTATATCCATAATTTTGCTATATTGCCGATGATTAATGGAACTCAGATTTTACAGGATTTAAATCCCATAGTTTGAAAACTAAATATGAGTACTTACTTTTGACTCATCCATTCATCCTAGTTGTACCACAAACCTGTGATGGCACATTTATGTCCTTCATATTTGTCACTCCCCAAAGCTGCAGTTTATCCCTCAGGCAGAGATGACTGACTGTGTAAAGGAAACTTGCACTATTTGTCACAGGTCCTATTTTTGGAGATAAATCTATCGGGCAATCCACTGGAGGCAGACTGGATCAGAACCTCTCACAAACCAGAGCTTACAAATTCATCAGTGGAGGCCAGACATTAAGAAGTGCTGGTTAACATGCTGGTCCTGGCCTGCCAGGCTATTTTCTTTCTTTGTGGTTTGGGGTTTTTTTTTCCCCCTCACCCATAAATATCAATTTGGTCAGTACACACCAATACAATACCGCAATTAGTGTTTCAGAGCCTCTGAAACACTAGGAAAGATCATTTAAAGCAGAGTTTCCTATGGGTGAATGATCATCGGAGGGGAAGAAGAGAGGCTGAGACAGTGTGTTAGAAAAGGTACCCATAAACAGTTGATTATTGGGTGCCCCACAGCAGCAAAATAACTGGTGCTTCAGAAAGCTGTGGGATTTCAGTAGGTCCTGTGCTGTCCTGACCAGCCATGTGAGAATCCTCCAGCTTTTCACATGCTCTTACAACAAGCTAGGTTGGCTTGGTGGCAGACACTTTCTCCCACTGGCAAAGCACAATTATTCTCAATGGGTGTGGTCCATGGCAGATTTCAAATAATTCCTCAGTCGTTGAGTAATCTGTTACTTGCTGGGGACATCCCAGTCTCATTTGACTTCCGCAGCACTTTAGCATGAGCAGCTGGTCCAAGACATGCAGTTCACTCCCACTCCCAGATGGGTAGAGTTCCCCAGGGATGTTGGGAGGCTGGGGCCTGTTTCACATCCTCCTCATCCCTGATGTGTGAAGGACTACTCTGTTGTGCCTTCCCCCTCAGATCCCAATAATGTCTTCTCCTCTGTCTCCAAACAGGAGATTCAATAGTAATACTGGACCACAAGTGGAAAGGCAAGTGAATCCTCCTCTTGAAGCCAAACAATCCCTCCATGAATTCTGACCATGAAGTAGAGGAAAATAAACATAGCTGTGATAAATCCTTTCTCCAATGCATTGCAGCTTCTGGTGAAGCCATTATGACATCAGACATATGGAAAACTGGTGGAAAATATGAAATGTTTGCCTCTTTCACGATAACTCTGCAACCGCTATGAATAAGAAAATTGTGTTCATCTGTTTACACAGATTTCTCATCTCTTGCACAACGTACGTGAGGATGTGTCCATGGTTAAAAGTTGTCACTGATAAATGCACTCCCTCATGAGCCTCACACCACTCTGTAAAAGACCTGTGAATGCAAGCCAGCTCTTGTTTGGATTGCCCTTCATCAAGTCTGGAAAAAATTAAGAGGAGAGATAATTTTAACAGTGCTGTGACTTCTAAGCTAGCTAGATAACAAATTGGGCTAACAAGCACTGTAATTAGAAATGTCTGCTCAGAAAGTTCACCAAGAAGCCGAGTTCTTCTAATGAGAAACTTTCTGTAATATTAATATGCTTATATTATGCTTAATATCTTCCCTCCATTTTAACAGGAAATCCGAAGGCAACAGTTTCTTCCTTTTTCTTGGTTTCAGTTAATCTTGCAGCAAAAGTAACCTAATTATACTGACTGTATGATTGCTTTGACAGAAAGCATGTTAATTTAAAGCACTGTTTAACATAAAGCTGCCTGCCATATAATTACACTCCATTCACATGTTTACTAATTTTCCTCAATATAGTTGATTTCTGTTATTAGCCTCAACATTTTGTTAACATCCAAAACACTGGAGATCTGCTTTGCAAACTCCAATAAACATGCAAAACCGAGAGTAGCACAAGTGTTCCTTAATGGTCAATGTGAAAAAGAAAAATCTCTCTTATTATTCCTGCATTCAAAGAGGATTTGAAACTAGTTGCAGTACTTAAATGTCTAAATCCATCCTCATTGCCAAAACCCCTCGCTTAGAGCTACTGTGCACACCATTCACCAGGGTGTTATTTTCACCTTTCAAATGCCACTGGTGCTCAGTAAAAACAAAACACATTGTAGGCTGCCTGTGAGCAATAAAAAGATAATGTGTATACATAAGATTGTTCTTCTCATATGTTAAGCACCTGATAAAAATTCTAATCTGGGAAGTTAACATGCTAGGCCTAGACTGTAAACTAAGTGAACTCAATGAGATGCGTGCATGCATTCAGTAATTCCCAGCCTATCTAGATAACTGGCTCCAGCTAAATTTGCAAGGGGAATGTAAGCAATTACACATGCCCACACACAAACACACTCCTCCCTCATTTTTTGTTGAAGTTGAAAGATGCTGGTGAGAGGAAATATATTGGAGAGACAGACAGAAGAAAAAACACAGAGGGAATTAGGGAAGAAGAGAAAGCCTGGGCCCCAGCACAGATAGATAAGTCTTTCCACTTCCAACCAGAGAAGCCAAATGACAGACCTTGCCCTCAGCTCCTGCTCACACCAGTGGTACCTTTGGGATCTGATGTGGTGATTGAGCTGCTGGACTACAGGGCTTTGAGAAGAATCATGGGGAAGGTTGTTTATTTCTTTGAAAAGGGCTCAGAAGAGGCACTTCTTTCTGCTACATCCTGTATGGAGAAAAGCTGGATTCCAGTCATGCACTTTGAGAAATCAATGAGGAATGCCTGTCCCCAAAATACAACTGCTGGGATCTTGGATTTGCTTTGTTCCTTTCTCTCATATCCACAAAGCTCTGAAAGGAGGAAAATGTGTCATTGCTGACAAACCAACATTTTCCCTGTGATTTTTCAAAAGGCTTTACTGAGACACCCTGTGTAAGGATCTGGCCTTGATGACATTTACACCAGATTTCTCTTTCGAGTCCATCAGTCTCTCCCATTTCATTTTAAGCATGCGGAGCCAGTCAGAACTGTTTATTTATAGCCGTAGATGTTCATGGCTGTATAAATTAGCTGTTATTACCGAAGGAGGTGCCCGCCCACTCGCCCAGAGCAGCTGCACAGGAGCCCTTTCATGCTGCTCCACGGAACGCAGCCCCAACGGGCAGGGAAACAACGCTGTCCCAGGCAGACAAAGGGACCACGGCTCAAACCCCTGGGCGAAAAAACAGCAATTAATTTTTTCCACAGTGCAATCTGCAGCATGACAACCACAATTACCTAATACTGTTTAGACCTGCCACTTGCATTTGGCAGAGAGAGAGAGAAAATGAAGGATTAAATTCACCAGCGGGGAAAAAAAACCCACCCAGACTAGAACCTACCCCTGGATTTTTGTTTTATAAGATTAAGTGATATTTGTTTAGAGGGGGTGAGGGGAAGGGACAGTGAGGGGATGGAAATGCAAAACTGGTTTTTATTTGAGACAGAGCACCATCAGAAAATAAGGACCCATCCCATACACACAAACACTGAGCTGTTTCCAGCAGAAACAGCTGGAAAGTAATACCCACCACCACGAGGAGCTTTCATCTTAACTCACACCTTTGTAACAGTTTACTTCCACAAAAAGCATAGGCAAGTGCTAATTTATTCCCTCCCCAGTTTCCCACACAAATTTCTTGGTTTGGGTCTCTGCCAGAGCTTCAGGGTCACAATGTGACCTCAACAACATAATTTAAGATTGTTCCAAGCCTTCAGTGGAACTACTGAGGATTTACTTTGATGGATATGGAGCCAGGATCTGGCATGCAGAAAATATGCATTTACATTCTACCAAAGTGTCTAAAATAGTTGCCCAGGGATGCTGAAATTCAATTTGAGACCTTGTATTCACTTGGCAGAGCACATAATTAAATATTTTGTGCCACAAAATTAACCAGAGTCTCAGGGGTATGGGTAAGAGACAGCTTAGAATCAACCATGAGAGCCAAACTAAGACCTACTTCCCAGGCAAGTTATTCAGTAAATATTGGGAAAAAAATCATTGCAGTGATAGATGGGTTCATAATAATTTTTCTTAGTATTTAATCTTGCTGATTATTTGTAATTACCTCTTACCTCAGAGGAAGAGGCTATTGGCAGTGTAGATTCATTTAAATAACACCAATATCAAGAATTGCTCTTGAACTAAAGCTCCTGCTTTACAGCTAAAAATTGTTCTTGAATTAACCATTTGGAAAGAAGCATCAGGTAAAAACCAAATACAATTAGAATAGGCCAGACCTCAGAACAAGTGGTTAAAAGCCCTGAAGCAGAATTTTCGCCTTTTGAGGTCTCCAGAGGCCCTACACTGCAAGGAGTTCGATGTTCCTGAAAAGCAAACCAAATTCCTTTAGTGTTTGATGTCACAACCCTTCATTTTAGATTTCAGACATGGTGAGTCTAAAAACAAGGGTTTGAGTTAAACCCCCAGGATATGGCCCAATAATAGTTCTGAACTATAAAATTTAATGGTAATACTTGGTATTTCAAATGTCACTTTCTATCAAATGTTCTCAAAACATAAACATAAAGCTGCCTGCCTTGTTTACAAAGCTTTAAGCAAAGCTTCAAGTTCCTTTCACCTTGAGAGGGTAATTTCCCTCAGTACCTGGAGAACAGCACACATATAAGAGAATAATGCTTTATTTTACACCTAAGACGAGCAGAATTACCTCCTCCAAGGATGCAGGACAATATGGTTTCACTGTTGGTATGGACTAGGTTCCTTAGGCAGAGGAGAAAGATATATACCAACATAAATATATACCAAAATATATACCAACATAAGACTGCTTCTTGAGATGTTAGTTCAAGATTAGATGCTTTTTGAGATGTTAGTTCAAGTTTTTGGTGTGGAAATCCCCAGTGGGTGTGCAAAAGCATCAGTGCTCAAGGGGGAAAATGAAGACACGTGATAAAAGGAGCTCCATGGTTAAACATTTCTTTCCATCAGGTGTGGACAGAGAGGAGCACAAGTGAGCTTCAAAGTGTGCTTCAAACAGGGAAGAACCACACTTTCAGTCATAGAGGTATCAAGGCTGGAAAAGACCTTTAAGATCATTAAATTCAAACATTGACCCAGCACTGCCAAATCCACCACTAAACCATGTCCCAAAATGCCACATCCACGCGTCTTTTCAACACCTCTAGGGACGGCGGTTCCACGACTTCTGTGGGCAGCCAGCTCCAGCACCTCCAGCCCTCCATGTCCTTGCTGTAGCGCAGTGCCCAGAAGCGGACACAGCACCGGAGGCGCGGCCTCACCGGTGCCGAGCACTCGCCGCACTCAGCACAGCAGCGGCAGCTCCAATACCAGCGCGGCAGAGCCCGGCAGCTCCGCTCCGCTGCGGCCGCTCCGTGAGGGACAATTCCCGGCAGCCCCGCTCCACCGGCGGTGCCGGCGCTGCGGCCGCTCCGTGAGGGGCGATTCCCGGAGGAAAGCGCGGCAGGGCGGGAGCGTGGCCCTCATCCCGAGGCGCCACAGCGGCCCCTGGCGGCGGCGCGGCGCCAGCGCCTGCCCGCCCCCTCAGCGCTGAGGGGCCCGGACGGGAGCGGAGATCCCGGGGCGACTCCCGGGACAGCTCGGCCAGCCCCCAGCGCCGGGAAGGGCCCTTTCCCACCGCGGAAAGCTGCCACGCCCTCCCCACAGCAGCTCCTTGCATCGCCCATGGCTGGGCGATTTCAGCGTTTCAGGGGTGCAGCAGCCTCAGTGTTCTAAGCTGAGTAATTCCCTTAAACTGAATAATTCCATCAGGACACGCCTGATGGATGCTCAGGGATGCAGCAGCGTTCAGCTCTGGAGCACGGGGGCAGTCCTTTGGCACCGGCGTTCTTGCACTCGCGCATCTGCGAGCCCAAAGCAGCCCCAGGCCAAAAGCAAATCCCCGCGGTGTCCCAGCGCGGCGCCTCACAGGCAGCCAACACCACCTTATTAAGTCAAAATCACAGGAAGAGGGAGAACAAATAGAATGTCATTTTGATCAACAAATGTAACAATTATGTGAAAGTTAATAAAGCACATTGTTTTTGTCCATAGGTTCAGTTTTGTGGATGCTTTGCACTTTTTTCATTTTTTCCCCCTCTTTACCACCCCTCTCCCTCCCTTTTTTTTTCCTTTTTTAAAAAACAGATGTTGCCAAATGTTTTTGAATCACACATACTTCAAAATGCCTCACAATCATTTGTGGAACCACCCCCAGGCTCTAAACCCTTATATCACTAATGCAGCCTCCTTGTTGCTAGCTTGCCAAACAATAGCCATTGTTCCTGAAGGGTCTAGCCAAAAATAATATGATGTGCAACTGCCTTCCCACTGTTGTCCTTGCAAAACTACTTAAAAGTTCCAGAGATGCCTTTACGGATGGTGTACAGTACAAATAAACCCAAAAGGAGCAGAACAATTGGAAAAGCTTGTAGGAACATTGGAAGTGCGTGGAGTAGAAATAAAAAAATGGTGGGGGGTGGAAGAGAGAAAAGCATTGTGAGAAAGATTTTATATTAAATGATAGTAAAGTGTTATGCAGCTGTTTTTGTGTTGTTGCAGAAGTGAAACCACAAATATTTGAGTATTCATATCACTACAACTTGCATATAACTCATGAGTTTGGTAGCTGTGCAATTGCACCTTAAATGATTCTTTTATGCAGCTCTGATTTTGGAAAGAATCACTTTGAATGAAGACTTGGGAGGGAATATAAAATGGCTACCATTCCTGCTTGGGGAAATACATTATCTGAATAAGAAATATCTGGAAATCATAGGGGTCACAGACCCACAGCTATATATAACCTGTAGCTTATGGGCAGTCTGGTCTGTATTGAATTCAAAACTTAAGCATTGAGGCGGAGGGAAAAAAAAAGAAAAAGGGTTATTTTGAACTGCCATCATAAAAGTTGAATTTATTTCTTATGTGTAGCTCATTACATACCAGTGAAGGATCAGCTTGACCTTTCTGCTATTAGTAGTCCAGGCCATGAAAGAAGCTCCTTCATGAACCAATGAAACTTCATACTGTTGTTCTCTGTGTTGTACATCTCTGGATATAAAGATCACGCATCTTCCGTCAGCAATACATTTATTGATAAAGAAAGTCCTGCAAGGCAGGTCAAATCCACAGGCACACTGTGTGTGGTGTGAGAATCGACTCTCAAGTGTTCCTTCGCATTTCTACTTCTAATCATTGATCTATTTAGTCATCCTAAGTCTCAGTCCTAGACTCTCATACAAATTCAGAGCTGAACTTTGACCACAGTCCTGAATCAGAGGTATAGGAAAAAACTGAGGAAGTGAAAAAAAAAGTCACCACAACTACTTCAGAGGAAAGCTAATTGAAAAAAAACCCCACAATATTCTGGCAAATATCAAAGCTGATATTTCTACATAATGTAACTCAATTATGAGGTATTTACTAATCACATCATATTTATTGTTAACAAATTGTTGCAAGTGCCTACTACAATGGACCTCTGTTTAGCCATTACTGGATGCTTGACAAATGATCTGCAGTGTTAGAAGGTCAGAGGAGAGTAGTAGAGAAGCACTGGGAGGGGGAAAAAAGGGAAGGAAAAAAAACCCAAACCCCAACTATACAGCAAGACGAGACTGTGGGAGAATCTCAGATATGCTCTTTAAGTATAGTCATCCCTTATAAGGAAGAAATTCATTTCCAACATCAAGCACAGCCTGTGGGCAAAGTCTGTGCCACTCAGATGTACCCCCAGCGTGTGTCCCTGGTGACGTGTCTGTGTACTCATCATGCAAGTATGTCCCACTCAATGTACAGCTGCAGCGTCTTCCTCCCCGGGGATACGGCGTCTATATGTCCAGAGAAACAACACGTGGGCCCAGGTCTGACCCCCTAACCTCCACATGCTGCAAGCTGCTTCCAGAGCTGAGGGAAAGGAAATGACCCAGAGGAAACAATGCAGGACATCATTCCATGAGTGCACTCTTGTGGTCAGCTGGGAAAACAAAACATCAAACCAAGAAACGAAACAGTCATGACAGAAATTAGGTTGATCTGGTCATTACACTGACAGAAAAAATGCCTTTCCTTTTAGTGGTTGTGGTGCCTTTTAGGAGTTTCTGTTTTGCTTTGCAGAATTGCTGGGGTTTGGAGTTTCCCGATTATCAGAGCCCTCCCAAAGCACTCCTACGCTCTCTGTCTGTGTATGTGAGTGCTGTCTCCTATTCCCCAATGTGAAAGGCATTTTTAACAAATTGATAAGAGAGAATTTTCCCATTCAGTCACTATCAGGCAAGCAGAGCACTGCATGGTGTGTTAGAAATGAAAATTGTACTCGAACTAGCCCTTCGGTTTCTCCCCCTTCCTCATCCCAGGGTCAGAGCCAGATAGAGAAACATCTCCCAGTCTACAGCACTCACATTCCTGAAGCAAATGCCAGATGCAGTCCTGTGTCCTGGGTTTGGTCCACTTGCCCACCTATGTTAACTGTTGGGGAATTTCAAGGAAGCGGGAAAAACAGCAGCTGAAGGAATGAAAAACCAGCCACTGCATCCAACATTGGCAGCAAGCACACAAAATCTATGTGCTGTGTCTTCCTTGTGTGTTGCCCCATAGGCTTTGAGGAGCAATCGGTAAAGCCTGATTTCCCTCATACAGATGGAAAATATCTGAGACCTGAGCTTGTAATGAAAACCATGTTTAGACAGGGGTTTCTATAGGAGGGTTTTTCTATGGGAATGAGGCAAGGGGCAAAGTAGAATTCCCCTTTTGCTAACATACCATCCCATAAAACACCTAAAATGTCCAAAGCATTGAAGAAGAGATTTAGCTTTGGGCAAGAAGTATTGTCACAGAATAATTTAATAATTAATGGAGGAGTTCTTTAATTTAACTCCTGTTACAGTGAGGTTCTCCTTGGTGTCGGGAACAGCCAGGGCTTTCCAAGGGTGGGCAGCATGAGGCAGCAGGCTATATCTGTCAACAAGGCACTGTACGGGCCAGCTTAAAAACCTCTCTTCCTGCCATTGTTATTCTGGAAGCCCTGGAATTTCATCCAAATGGATTTGACCCCTTGCAAAACAGCCTGTGCATACTTCCCTGATTAGGGTATTCCTGTTAGATGAAAAGGAGGGGGTGGAAGTGGAAGAAGAGTGGCTTTCTCCACCTCTGCCCAAGCAACACAAGTGTCCTGCTGCATGCTGGACTCCAGGATGGGCACATGACTTTGAGGAAAAACAGCTTATCCATTGTCCAATGGGGGAGCAGGTCTGTGCACCTCAGGTGTGCCCCACAAGCAGCACCTCCTAAAGAGGGGAGAAAATAACTCAGAGGAGTTGAGTTCTTCACCCAGCTTGCATTTGCTTGTGGAAGAAAGTTGTTAGTCATTTTGACCCAAGCTTTAGGAAAGGTCTTTTATTATGGCAAATTCAAGTCTGAAATGCATTGTCCTTTCCCATGGTGCAGCTCTCAGTCTGCCCTAAATGCTTTGCCATGCTTGCAAGTAGTTCTCAAACCTCTCCATCTATTTCCCCCCTCATTTTTGTACCAGTCTATGACCTGCTAAATTCCCTGTACCTGACTAGATGATCTCAAAATTTCATATAACTCAGAATAATCACTGATTAGTATTACCATCTGCTTCCAGCTCTCCCACTTTGTTTTTCTCCATTCTATTTCCCCAACCTTCCTACAAAAGGAACTTCACGGTTTCTTCCTTGACAGGGTTGCTGATGTCCAGGACAGGCCACTGCTACTGCTTCAGCTCTATCACTCAGCATATCCCTCTGCCCATACATGAAGGTGTTCAATAATCAAACTGGATTTTTTGGAAATAGAAGAGCACTTAAAGAAAAACTACCTTCAGAACACCTGAAACTAAAAGGTCTGGGCAGAACATTCCAGACTTCATCAGAAGAGGATCTGGGTCTTCTCACTTCTGGCACAAGACTTCATTCCCTTTGTCTTCACTAGGCTTTGGATCAATGCATGCAAAAAATATTTCCACTGGGCTTTAACTTTGGCCATTCACCAGCTATGCACTCCTGTACAGCCCTGTGCTGTTATTGTGGTACTAATTAGCAAAGGTTACACAGCCATATCTATTGTTTCAGCAAAGTTTGGGCCACGAAGTTCACATGATCATACTGAGCTGAAAATAGAGGTTATCAAGCAATCAAGCTAAGCACATTACTTGCAATTACAGCTCCTTATTTGTTTTATTCCCATACACTCACCTTGTCCTGCCTTCCCTTCTCCCTCCTGCCAGCATACCACTTGGAGCAGTGCTGCAGCTTTGCTGTGAGCAGTGACCCTGCATCATGTAGGCAGCTGAATTAAACCCTATTGCTGTACCCATCTAAAGTGACATTGGGACAGGGGTGACACGGGTATGCCTTGGCAGCTACATGGCAGTAAATGATATTACAGCATTTACTGTCTACTGCAAAGACACACCACTGAAAAGGACAAAGCACATTGAGTTAAACCTCAAGCCAGGCTGTTCTGTTTGTAGCCAGTGGATGCAAATGATTGACTGAGAGTTCTCCCTGTGCCAAAACAATTATGAGAGATAAAAAGGGATTTGGACATTGATCCCCTTTCACTCTCAGCCAGAATCCAAAGAAACAAGCATCATACACACTCAGGTATTTTGAAACAAAAGTGTACACAGAAGATTGAAATTGTGCAACCAACTCT